CAGTGAAAATAATCGTGATTATCATTTTTGCCATAATCGAGCAGCCCTAGTTCACACATATACATACAATGCCTTGTCTTAGTGTGTATTGTGTGAACTGCTTTCCCAATAAAAGGCAGTGAGAGGAGGCCGTCATTGGGGTCATTTTCGTGGTAGACACCGACGAGGCCTCCCTTGCAAGTAAATCGATCGATCGATCGCTGACTGTCTTGTTTTCTTCATGATGAATAAGTCTCTAAACCAGCGGGGCTTGTGGAAACACAGACCCAACATTTATTTTGTATCAAATGTGGGAAAAAAAATACATGAAACATTTTTTAAAACCAACCACAGGTCATAAGTAACATGGCTGCATATGAAGAGGTAAAGAATGGAAAGTGTTCACTACTTTCTGGAATATTGAATTAGATATTCAAATTGTTAAGCAACATTAAAACTGCAAGTAATTCACTGACTGTGGTACCTAATCTAATTCAAGTTGTAGAAATTCTACAGGAATGCCTGGTTATAAGGGACAAAACCAATGTTGAATTGCCATGATCTCCAGGCCTTCAGGCAGCACTGCATTTACAATAAAGGGGGAAAAAAGAAAAGATCTGGTTGGTGAAATCACTCTGTGTGCTCAGAAACTCTTTTCAGTGAACGACATTCACGGAATCAAGGTAATAACTCTACAAAGAAACAATGACAAGGATTTATCGGACCCAGCTCATTTAAGATTGTGGGAGTTAAAGATGTCCTGCTGTCCGCAAATCAACATTGGACATTTTTGGATCACAGCAGCGGTGGCCACCAGACTTTTACTGCCATAAAAACAGCTAAAAAAAAAACAAAAAAACCCCACGTTTTTTTCCAAAGTGTACATTGTTTTGTAGATGTTAAAAGTAGAATTGACACATTCTTTAATTCTTGTACAATCATGTTGTACAAGGACGAATAGTAGATAATTCAGTTCTTTTGTACAGTTATTTTTCTCCAAGTTATAAGCCTAAATTTCTATAATTTCCCTTTATGAATCCTTAGTAGAAACCTGATTGCAGACACATAACAGTCATTGGACCCCATTATACATTTTTCCCCCTAACCGACTGTGACTGAGAGCATGCTGAATAATGTAACATCATTTATTCAATGCTCTGGGGATACTAAACCTGTAATGATGATCACCCAATAAAAGAAAACATAACCAGCCTGAGAGTTTCAACTATGTGAGACATATTCTACAAGGACAAATAGTATGAACAAAGTGTTTGTACAAGAATAAAGGAATGTGTCTTCTTTGAAGGAAGGTAAAGAATAAAAGCAATGTCTGCAAAAAAAAAAAAAAAAAAGGCACAGCCTGGATTGACTGACACACACACACACACACACACACACACACACACACAAAACAGGAATAAAGGGTAAGACAAATCCTGACAGTAACTTCCGACAAGTGCATTTGCAGGAAACTCGAGGGTATTCAAAGAGGATGTGTGAATGACCCTCTAAACTCGGAAATCCTGCACTGGAGGAAGAAAGCCCACCCAGTACTTCAAATGCATACATGCATATATTTGCATGTTTCTAAAACTACAAGAGCATACCAGTGCAGTTTGTGACAGCAATTTTTATATACTCTTGAATCTCTGCAGAGAAATCTTATTTAACGTAGAAAGTACAACTACATTATGTTTCAGTCCATAGTTTCTATCAGACATTATTTCAGTCAATCTTGAATTGGGCTAGAGGAGGACGTCCTTGCTCGAGTCTTCAGTAACTCTTTCTTAAGAGCTAAAAAAAAAAAAAATCTAAATTGAGTGAAGGGTGAAGCATGAAAAGTCAAGGCTTTCTTTTACATGCAGCTGAAAAGCTTTTTTATTGTGGAGTTTACCTTCCACGGCCCTGCAACACTTTATTGTGTCCTGAGAGAATGCCAAAGCTCTGAGCTGTATTTTTTCTGCCTCTTTGTTCGTTTAAGAAAGTGAAAGACACTGTGTGTCAAGGAGTGTGATGCTCGTGTCTTTTGTGTTTGAAATCATATACAACCCCAACTCCTGTGTAAAGTAAATAAAAACAGAAAACAATCACTTGCAAAACTCATGAACCCATATTTTACTCCCAAATAGAGCACAGAAAACATGCTGAATGTTTATGAAAAGATGGGCAGAGGTTCACCAGTCTGCAAGTCTGTAAAAACACAACGTCTATAAATAGAAGATTTGCAGAATAACGATGCTCCACTTAAATTTGTGATGACTTTGAATATCTTATTATCTGCAGTACGTAACGCCTTTAAAAGAAATATCTGCGTGCAAACACGTGGTCTTCAGGCCCTCAGGCAGCACTGCATTAAAACAGGCTTTGATTCTGTCATGGAAATTACTGCCTGGGCTCAGGAACACGTCCAGGACACAGTGTGCAATCCACAAATGCAGGTTAAAGCTCTATGATACAAAGAAGGAGCCATGTGTGAACGTGATCCAGAAACATTACCATGTTCTCTGGGACAAAGCTTATTAAAATGAACTGAAGCAAAGTGGAAAACTGTTCTGTGGTCAAACGACTTGAAATTAATTGACGACATCTGGCTTGCAGTTCAAAACTCTTGATCTTTGATGATATAGGGTGACATGGGTTTTAGAGGAACATATGCTCTCATTTATCTTCTTTAAGCAAAACCTTACATATTCATATTCAGGATAATCAGCAAGACGAAGCAGAACTGCGCATTACATCTATTACAACAACACGGCTTCACAGAAGAGTCTGGGCGATGAACTGGCCTGCTTACATTCCAGACATTTTACCTTTTAAAAACATTTAGCTCGTCATGAAATGAAAAAAAAATTGGACAAGGACGACCCGGGACTGCTGAGCAGCAAGAATCCTCGCTCAGACGAGACTGCGTCAACCTTCTTCTCCCCAAAGTCTAGCAGCGCCCTTCCTCAGTTCCCAGATGTTTACAGACTGTTAAATTAAAAAAAGACATGCTGGGTCCGTCCTAATGTTTGACGCACGATTCTCCCATAGAGTTCAAAATGACTTTATTTTTTTCTGAAAATGGGACATTATTTCAGTTCAAACATCTGATGTTTTCTACATTTCACTGCGAGTAAATTATGGGTTTATGAGATTTGCAAATCACTGTATTTTGCTTTCATTTACATGTTACAGTGTCCACATTGCTTAAAAATTAGCATTGCATCAATATTTTCCTCCATGGGTTCAGCACAATATAAGTTATATAGTTAGTTGAAATAGTCTTGAAAAAAAATAATAGCATTAAGTTTTATTTAGATTCACATATAAATTAAGATATCTGTGCACTTCATAGCAGGAACAGAACAAAACAAAAGCCTTGGGTTTCAAACACGCTTGGCAGACTATGACCACCACATGTTGGTCTCTGACGGAGAAAATTGACCTGTTATCCAGATAGTTTGTTGAGTTTTGGGTACATTGCAATGGTATCAAAAGCTAAGGAGAGATTCATAAATATTATGATGTAGCAATTAGAAGGGTCCAAACTTTTTTCATCATGGAGTCCAATTCTAGTAAGACAGGCACTGCTGACATCAGCAAGCTGCACCTTTCATCACACCTTTGAGCCACACCTTTGAGCCACATCTTTGTAACGGGACTTGAATTGAACCCCTAGCCCACAGATAAAACACTGATGATGACCCCAAAGTTCAATTACACAGCAAAAACAAAGAAAAGGAAATTCTACTGATGAAAAAGTTACACTTTACCTTTAATGTTCTAGTGGGGGCCCAGCCTGTGCCATCAATAGAGTGCTCCCGCAATAAGCTGCAGAAAACAAAAAGAGATACACAGCTATAGTATCTGCAATACTGTAAATGCTTGCGCTTTCTGTAAGATGCTTTGTGTGCTTTTTAATGCACAATGTTTTTTTTTACTGTAGACTACAAATTTGTTTTGCATTTGCATGCATTGTCGAGGATTCTCAAAGAATGAGGGCTCAGAGAAATTATTTTTCAGCTTCGGTTTTCTATCAATTTCTAGGCTAAATAGAAAATGACAACATGAGATAAAATGTCACGCGCTAGGAAGAAGTAATATTGGGGAGGGGTACACACAATTTACCTCAAACAGATTTCTCCATTCTCCGTGATATTGGGATGCCATATTCTGGTCAGACATCTCACTTTAGGAGGCTGGAAACCAACAAACCAACAATTCAGGAAGAGACACATTTAAGTTCTCTGATTATTTTAACATTATGTGATGTTTTAAAAGCAGTCCATTTCTACTTCCTATTAGTCTCCCAAATTACCTGAGCATCACTTCATACACGCTCTAAACCAACTTAATTAATCAGACTAAATTTCATTAGATGACAGACAAGACTCAGACACAGAGAAATGTCCAAGAAAGAAAACCCTCAACCAGAAAATAAAAACAGAGGAATCATGTTAGTATTGTTTCTTTTTTGAATCGTGTTGTGCAAACAGCAGTTAAAAAGCAGAGCACACAAAACCCAGCAGAGTGTCCAAAAATGGTCTAGTCATCATTTCTGGGCAACAAGGATGCGTCTGAGCCTTTGGTGCACGTGCCTCGTGTCCCGCTGTTTCTAGTAAAGCATTATTGACTTTTCTGACCTCTTTTCGTTGTTAGCAAATGTGACATAGGCCACTGTAAAAACAGTAAAATCATGTAATTAGAATTTTATTGTAGCTTTACAGAAGTAGTTTCAAAGATGATGTTTGAATTAAATAAAAACAAAGAAGACAGTAAGGAAGGTTTCTAGCTAAGAGCTCCCATTACTGCAGCATGATGAGAAAAAACATAGATAAATCTAATTTCCTATGACACTATCGTCTACTTTTCAACTTCAAATGCACGTACTTATTCAACAAGACATTGTGGTGGTTTTTGTTTACCCTTATGAACAACGTTAACTGGGCAAAATAGATTTAAATACAGAGGATCTTTATTTGAGAACAAGCCACCACCAGCTCTTCAGTCCATAACTGCATTTTAATTTTTCAAAAAAACAATAAAAAACAATGTTAATTTCTAATAGTATATGATGTGAATATTTATTATATTTGTAAATTATTGTATGTCACTTATCTGTTCCTCCTGCTAACCTGTTAATGTTATAGGGGAGGTGACCTTATAAAACCTTATGGTCTTCCTAACCTCTCCTGCACAGTTGTTCTGATTTTTAAACTGTATAATATTATTATTATTGTTGTTATTATTGTTATTGTTATTATTATTATTATTATTATTATTATTATTAATAATAATAATAATAATAATAATAATAATAATATTCTGTTGATTATATTTCTGTCCAAAACAAAAACAAACTTTTTGCTAATCAGATTTTTTTTTTAAACGGGTTTAAGCTTCCCCATTATGGACTTGATGGCTACTTTCTTTTTCCTATAATGCTATTTGTCTGGAGCCATTTTGTTATGAAAAAAAGAGTAATATACAGTAGCCCCAGCAAGTCACAACACCCTATTTTCAAGTACAGCCAAAAAAGAAACATTTCTTATCGCACTTTTTATGACTAACACCTTATTACAAAGAGATTGCACTCATAAATACTTGAAAATGAAGAAACGCTGTTGCATGACACACACTGTTCACTTCACCCCGATAAGTCGGAGTGACTTGAGTGATAATTATAATTATGTCTGCAACAAACCGTGTGTTGTAATGAAAACATCAAACTGACAATAAGCAAGTACACTGATGAAATAAAGACTGTTTTTCTGCATCCTTGAACATATTTGTAGAATCATTCTGATGTCCTGATATCTACAAAACTTTATACCAGCAGCTACGTGATGCGGTTCTGATGAGAATTAAATTATATGGATTTAATTTCTCAAATTACTTGTTTCTATATCATGAAGTTAAGTCTTACACTGATGTCAATCCCATCTTGACATTTTGAGTACCTACATGTGACAACCAACTATTACATTTGGAGACGACAAAGCTATTAAACATAAACAAGTATTGATACTTCACATCTAACAGGAACTGGATTAAAGTAAAGTGAGGGGGGATTTCTGGAACAAATCTAACAGTTATTGAAAATGCTTCTCTTTGCTTGTGTTGTAATACTGTTTAACTGGTCAGTAAGACTAGAAAAGCACAGTGCAACTGACTGTCCTTTAATGAATGACCATTAATTATGATTGTGTTTCAGTTAAAGTTTATCGATAGATAAACTAATGTAACATTTTAGGCCATTTGAAATTAGCAGGTTATTTTTTTACATATAAAAACTTATAATCAAGAACTTCTTGTTCAACAGCAAGGTGAACATTTGTATCAGCTCAGATTAGAAAGAATTTGTTTTTAAAAAGACGTGAGTGTCAGTCTGATAATGAATAAACCCACTTATTATTCCCCTAACAGCTGACATTTTGAGTCGTAAGGTCGATCTGATTAACTGTTCATGGAAATTATTTTTCTTGGTGATTATTCAGGAAGGATCTGTCCATGAGCAAGATTTTACAGCTACACAGCTCATAACAAAGCCTCGCTTCAGGTCAGAGATACATGTCAAAATTAAAAGCAGTTTTTTTTTTTCCATGATTAACAGGTGTTTAGCCCTCAGCCGTAAAAGGCTGACAGAGTATTATAGTCAGCCTGCCGAGCGGGCGATGCGGACATGCAAGTTTGTCAACATGATAACTCAAGAATGAGCAACGTAGAAGTTTTGAAATTTATACTACTGATGTATAAAGATTTTATTTGAGAATTGTAATTTGCTCCATAAACAGCATCTGCCTGTCATGTATAAGTGTATTTATGTGTTCATTAATTCCGTCTCTAACCCCCGACTTGATTCTGGCTCTACCATGAGGAGAAAGCCATATTTACAACCTGGAGAGCACAGACTCACAACTAACCTTGTTAAGATACAGCAATTATTAATTTAGTGCATCATATGATTTGTAAAGATAGTTCAGTTTAACTGCTGGAGTCAAGCCAGTAATAAATGTAGGCAATTAAAAAAAACAAAAAAAAAAACAGTTTTGCATCTTAACAGTCGCCTAGTTTACCTCATATCTCTGTTTTCGTTCACAGTTTGTTCAATTACTCACTCACAGATCCCCATCTACTCCAGTTAACTCTGGTGTACCCCAAGGCTCTGTCCTGGGTCCTTTACCTTTTATTATTCATCTCCTACCCTTAGGTAATATTTTCAAGAAATATAACATCCAATTTCACTGCTATGCAGACGACACCCAGCTCTAGGGCTGCCATGATTAGT